GGCGACGAGGCGGCGACGAGCGGCGACGAGGCGGCGACGAGGCGGCGACGAGGCGGCGACGAAGCGGCGACCGGAGACGAGGCGACGAGGCGACCGGAGAACGAACAGAACGGCGATGTGTTCCTCTTTGCCCTCATCGATGGCTTCAATCTGTGATGAATCATTGAGAATCATCGAGAATCAGGGTGGGGGAGGGGCTGTGAAGAACGGCGACGAGTGAGGGTGGGGGAGGGAAGGAGATGAGCCGGAGAAGATGGAGACGAGTGAGGGTGGGGTGAAGGAGACGCATCTGGTAAAGGGAGCATGTAAAGGGTAAAGTGGGAAGAATTGTCATCTTAATGGTTGAGTGAGGTAGGAGATGCAAAATGGTTAAAAGCCTTATGTAACCATTTAGAGGCTCTTTTTTTTTGCCAAACAGCCCAAACCTCTGACCGATTAAGAGGTTCCCTCTTAATGTCACCATTAAGAGGGAAACAAACAGCCCCTAAAACAGTATGAATAGTTATTTAATCTTTTTCCTATCGTTGATGGAGTTTAAAAAGGATTACCACTCGAATAAGAAAACTAAATATCATGATAAAATAAGAACGGAATATTAAAGAAAGATTCATATGTGAATCACTAAAAAATTTATTTGAAGATGCATATTCGAATCCATATGAATAATCTGTAATGTCGGTTCACATATACATATTCAAATATGTATTTTTGTCTAGATTTTTTCAATGATTAACATATAAACCTTTCTTGTTACCTTCTCAAAATATTAGGGGTTGTTTGGTTGATTTTTCATTAAGTCCTATATGAATAAAGTTGTCTGTGTGGGTTAATCTATTGGTATAGATTGGATTTTTTTTTTGTTTGAGAAGGTTTTTCCATAGACGAGAGGAGCATATTTTTTAATTTGGAGGGGCATATTTGGAAAAACTTGGTTTTCTGTATTATTAAGTCACTACCAAACAGTCATGTATAACTAACCAAACAAGCTACGAGTTCCATTAAGCTCATCAAGCTACTAACAAACATGCTCTTAGTATTCTTATTTGAACCTGCCTTTATGGTATCCTCAATTTAAACCGACTGAACTATGCACACCCTAACTTCCACCCAAATGCTTCAACTTGTTTTTCTTACATCAAATGATCAAATTTATATGAAAATCAAACAAACTCAGTATATCTCATTCGAAAATGAGAATTAAAAAGTAAGATGTACACAAATTTGATATTTGCCCTAAAAACCTAAGGTGACATTTTGTTCACACAATGGAATATGTGGGAATTGAAATTTGTCAAATGAATTGAAATATGGGGGCATTTGGTTTGCAGAATGTTTTATGAATGAATGAAATATGTTAAAAGAATTTGATTTTGAAGGAATTGGAATGGAATTTGACTACACGTTTGGTTGAAATGAATTGTAATTGAATCTGTTAAATGATTTGGAATTTGTCTATTTGGTTGGTAGAATATAGTTTCGGAAGTGGAATGATCAAATGAAAACTAGCCAAAATACCCTTTTTAACGGTGGTGGTTGGTGGTTGTTCAGATTGGTGGTGATCGACGGTGGTTTAGAATGGTAGTTCAAATAAGTGGTGGTTCAGATCGATGGTTCAAAACAGTGGTTGTCGACGGTGGTTCAAATCGATGGTGGTCGACAGTGGTTCAGATTGATGGTGGTCAGCGGTGGTGGTTGACGATGGTTCAGAGTGGTGGTGGTCGGTAGTGGTTTAGATCTGTGGTGGTCGGCGGAGGTTCATAGTGGTGGTGGTCGATGGTGGTTCAGATGGAGGTCATATGGGTCTTGGTAAATCAAGCAATTCTTGGATTTTTTTGACTCGCTCCTAGCTACATATCCTTTGGATCCTTCGCCCGCCCGCTACCAGTGGAAGCAAGCAACTTCAAGGGATTTTCCATCGCGAAGGATTCAATCCAGAGGGAAGATATAGATAATTTTGTCTTTTTGTGGTGGTGGGGATGAAGGCGACAGTAGTAATGACAGTGATGGCAGTGTTGGAGGCGGCAACGACAACGGTAGTGGTGGTGACCTTGGTCGTGGCAACTACGACAATGGTGACATCTTCCATGGTGGGATGAAATAGAATGGAGTAAATACAAGGGTAGAATCGTTTTTTTTTCTTTTTAAAAGATGATATAAAGGAATTGAAATTATTTACTAGAACTCAAGTAATTTACGTTCTACCATATGCGAAATTTGAAATTACTTATCAAAACTCATAGAATGAACCAAACACATGAATGAAATTTGGTCAATAGAATTGTCCGGACCAATTCCTTTAAAATCCATTGAATTCCAATGAACCAAATGCCAAACAAGCTAAAAAATGACTATTATCGTAAAAACAAATAAAAAGTAATACTAAACACTTAATTAGTAAGTGCTTACCGGATAAATTTCTTCATCGGATGAACATGAGAAGGGCCAAGAATCTTACCGGGTAAGAGCGATGAGAATGATGGATAGTCTTACCCGGTAAGTGAAGATGATGACTCTTACCCAGATAAGCGCTTACCCACTAAATTGTTGCATTCGATATGTTTTGATATACTAAAATCTTATGCATCAAAATAAATTATAGTGTTGACTCTTATCGGTAAGCGCTTACCGGGTAAGCAATTGGGTAAACGGCCCCTAAAACAACTGATGTAGTGGTAAAGTGGTAGAAAGGGAGGAAAACCAGATAAAAATCACCTATCCCGAAATTACGTCCACCGATCATATGAATACACGTAAGTAAATAAAGACAAATAGTAAATAAATGAAAATCTAATGAGTTGGTGAAATTTAGTTTTGAGATCGGTGATTTTAATCCCGAAAAAGAAATACCCTACACAAAAATGATGCATATACCTGGCGAGTGGCGACTAACAGTCCAAAACTAAAAGCGGACTTCCCAATCCAATCCAACTACACAATTACACATCACCGGTGCCGGTTGTATAACGAACCAACCAGCAACTCAAAATCATATTGATCCACACAGGACAGAGATCGGTCACAGAATGATCTCCGACGGTGTTGAAGACGAAGAGAAATGGCTGACTGCTGGCATCGCCGGCCTTCAACAGAACGCCTTTTACATGCATCGCGCTTTGGTAATCAATTCAATTTCAAGTTTGATCTCATAAACCCTAAAATTTCTTTCTTCATACACGAAAACCCTAATTAATCAACTACTATGTATTATTTGTTTCAGGATTCGAATAATATAAAGGATGCGTTGAAATACTCTGCTCAGATGTTATCGGAGCTACGTACTTCTAGGCTTTCCCCTCACAAATACTACGAGCTCTGTAATTACACTGATCAAATTCATTCCTTCTGTGATCTGATATAGTGGTGTTTAAGTTCTATCGTGCTGCGCAATGTGGGATGTTGTGTTTGACTGTGAATTCTTTTTTTGTTCTTGGTTAGATATGAGGGCATTTGATGAATTGAGGAAGCTGGAGATCTTTTTCAAGGAGGAGAGTAATCGTAGTTGCTCTATTATTGAGCTTTATGAACTTGTGCAGCATGCAGGAAACATATTGCCGAGACTGTAAGTGGGGAACTAGGAACTCGTACCCATTTACCTTTTGCGCGTTATTGTTATGTGGTGATTAGCTGTTCAAGATAAAACGGCAAGGAGTACACTTCTCTAATCTCAAAATGAACTGTCTTTTTAACTTGTTCTTGCAAGGAAATAGCTTAGAATGATGGTGGATTCATTACAATAGATCGGACCTACAAGCACCAATTTGTAAAACCTAATCAAACTAACCCGGTAAATCTGACACACACGCACCAATTTGTGACTACAGAAATGATGCATCATCAAAGAATTTTATAGATCCTTCAGTAAGTTACAGATGAAACAACTGGGGTGAGGATTCTGTGGTACTTATGTGGATATTAAATAGATATTGGGGATTGAATTGAGTCTTAATTCTTTTTTTTGAAGTATATAATATTTATATACGGCAAATGCAACAAATAAACTCACACCCTCCTCACCTTTGGTGAGGTTTGAACCCCTAACCTCCTAGGAGGCCAAAGGCTACGATACCGCTAGGCCAAAGGCCCTTTGGTGAGGCTTGATTCTTATCAACCAGAAAAATGCAGTATGTCATGCTTGTACTTTGCATTTAAAAAAGTAATGCTACAGCTTTCATATTAAGAAAATTATACGGAAAATAGGCGCTCTATATTGAGTGATTATGTAGAAGTATGTCCTTGTAATATGAAGAAAACCTTATACCATACTTTGGGAACCAAAATCCTAAATTTTATGATAGATTTTGTAATCATTTCCATAAAGTCCTCACCAGGGTACAGTTAATTCGGTTAGTAGCTTTTCTACCAACTCTGAATTTATGCACACGTGATGCATTTGGGCAAGGACATTTTGAGATGAGTGTGCAAAGGGAAGAGATGCATATTTGATGGCACTAGTGTGGAATCATGCCACAGTAGCACTTGGTGGCCCCAAAATAGAATTGTAGCAACAGATGAATTACATTTCTTTAAGATAAAAGAACAGAGAATTATGTTATTGTGCTGGAAATGTGGAATTTGCATGTATTGCTGTAGTTAGCTTCTATATGTCTGTACAATCATTTACGAGGAATTCTTTAGCAACAGATCCGTTCCCACTTTATTTTCTAGTGGAATGCTATTTGTCTGCAATTTATAATATGGAAAAAGCAAATGTGATGTTAGAATAAATTTCTTTGAGCATTGGTCTTAGCCTCTTAGGTTTATTTTCTGATTTATAAATTGCAACCAAATGCACCTCTACACATTTAGTCAAATATTAAAAATATATTTCAATATGAAACATAGGAATCTTCTGGACACAAATAAACGATATCAGTATTATATAATAATTATCAATGGGCAAAGAGGTAAATCTGGTTTGAAACTTTGCAACGAAGGGAACATTGCATTTATTTAGGAACATCCCAAAAAGAAAATTGTTGCATTTACTTAGTTAATTTGGGACAGAGAGAGATCTCCCTTTATCGACAGCTTTGATATGAAACCATTGATGATATACCTTATAAACTCACCCATCTAGTTGACAAAGATTGCAGAACAGGCTGTTCGTTTTAATGTTTTTTTATAAATGTAGTAAACTACTCAAGGGGTGAAGATACCCATGGTTTATGACGATCTGTTAGTATATGTTATGGAAGCACCAACCTTTACTAGTTCACCTCAATGTTATATGGTTATCACAATTTGATTATGCTGCTTTCATACATTCAGGTATCTGCTTTGTACAGTAGGATCTGTGTACATTAGGTCTAAGGAGGCTCCTGCGAAGGACATCCTAAAAGATCTTGTTGAAATGTGTCGTGGTATTCAGCATCCTCTTCGTGGACTCTTCCTAAGGAGTTATCTATCTCAAGTTAGTAGGGATAAGTTACCTGATATTGGTTCCGAGTATGAAGGGTAAGACTATAAGACTTTTTGGTGTTTCAGCAACCAATTGCAAATGCAAAAATAAGTTCAACAATTTTGAATTTTCTGCATTGAACTGATAAAATATCTTGTCTTTGATAACTTAGAGATCGGCTTCTCTGCTAGTTTGAGATATATTTGTTGTGTACTATCTTTCGGAGGTGTTATTGAGGATTTTATTTTTCTTTATATGAATGGACTATAGAGTCAATGGAGGGACCCTATGTTGCATATGTTGGAAGTTTGCGAGGGACCCTATGTTGCATATGTTGGAAGTTTGCTTGCCAGGTTGCAAGCGAATTTTTTTATAGGAACGATGCGCGTCGAACTCTTGACCATCCTCCTTGAATCTTGTAATGATGTCAATAAGAACGGGCAACTTGTGGAGGGTGGTATACCAGTGGAACCTGTAATGAGGACTTCGGCTTATGTTTGCCCCAAGTAATATTTGGAAATTCATCGTAAAATCAAATATTGAGACAAACTATATTTGCTTGTGTATCAGCATCAGTGGCAAGTAGACGATGAACCTTCTTAGTGATAAGCCCAAAATCCTAAATGTTCCAATTTCATTTGGCATGTAAAATACTCGTGTAATCGTAAAGTGCTTTGATATCAAGCATGTCATTGTCTTTATCCATTTAAGGATACTAGAGTAACAGTTGAGATCAGAACTGCCATTACTAAAATGGTCTTATGCATGCATGTAGACTTTGGTTTTCTTATGTGCGTGGGTACGGTTTCCTTTGATATAATCCTAACATAAAAAACAAACTTATAAACAGCCTGAAGACCTAAACCTATATTGAGGTTAAGATGTTGGACCTAATGAATGGGTGGATGACTTGCTTTTCTAGGGATGAGAACACTGTTATGGATGCTGTCGAGTTTGTACTTCAGAACTTCACAGAGATGAACAAACTGTGGGTTCGAATGCAACACCAGGTGAGTTCAAGTGTCAATAGAACCCTATAACCTGTTCTCAGGCTTAGCCATATATGCTTCCGTGCGTGTATGCCATGAAGCTAAAAAGAAATCATGAGGGTTTCGTTTGAAGTATAGATGCTCGTAAATAATTCATAGCCTTTTCTGATGTTGACCTGAGGCTTGCAATTGGACTTTCTGGCCTGCAGGGACCTGCTCGAGAGAAGGAAAAACGTGAAAAGGAGAGGAACGAGCTTCGTGATCTTGTAAATAATTAATAACGTGAATTGCAATGTATCACTTTAAACAAATAATAGTTTCCATGTATATTCTTATGCAAGATGGTTTGGCTATCATCACATTTTGTCAGGTTGGAAAGAATCTACATGTTCTCAGTCAGATTGAAGGCATTGACCTAGAGCTGTACCGGGACGTTGTTCTTCCCAGAGTCCTGGAGCAGGTATTATATGTCTGTATGCGAGTACATGACATTCTTTAGTTTAAGAATCTACCTATTGGTTATGTTTCTTATTATGAACTCAAGATTCTCAAAACAATTGCAGGTTGTAAATTGCAAAGATGATCTTGCCCAGTATTATCTAATGGATTGTATAATTCAAGTATTTCCTGATGAGTACCATTTACAGACTCTTGAAACATTATTGGGTGCTTGTCCACAGCTTCAGGTGAGTTTCGCCATACCTGTATATTACGTAAAACTATTTTTTTGATGTACCTGGTCAAGACATAGACTAAACTTCGAACTACGATTATAAGGGGCCTAGATATGAAGTTGTCAGACATTATTTAACAGAGGAAGTATACATGAGATCATTTACTTACTGTAAGTACTTTGTCAATGTGATTGCCCGAAGATGGTTCTCTATGTTCGTTTCACATGATTTTGACATTTTTGACCACATGGAAGACATGTGGCTGGACAGAGGGATCGAGGGCAACAACAAAAACCAAGTTCTTCATAAAACAAATCCACAGGAAGTGTTGGTGGACACAGAAATCAATATATATTTTCACTGGTATTTTACTGTCTGTACCTAGGGAGAGTCTTTGGGACTATCTATGAGGAATTGTGAGTTTATCATCAGGTCCTGTCCAGGGTTCATGTTTATGGAAAGTATTCCAAATAACCCTCCAGTTTCAGTACTTGAATAACTTATTGTATTATAGTAAATTTGCACGTCATTGAAAAAGTAATGGCCAAAGTGGAACTTTTTCTCTTTCCTACGAGTGAGATAATGTGTGCCCTTTTTTCCTCTTGGTGCTGTTACTTTACTGGACTTGAAATTTTCCATACTGAGAATTCTCTAATGTGTCCTGTCTTTATTATTTGCTAAGATTATTGTGGTTTTTGTTACAATTTTTTCCTATAGTTTCTGTATAATATGATGTTGTTTCCAGCTTTCTGTTATTAACTTCCTATTTCATTGTTTTTTTCAGCCTTCTGTTGACATTAAGACAGTACTTTCTGGTTTAATGGAGAGGCTATCTAATTATGCTGCATCAAGCACTGAGGTGCGTGAACTTGTGCTAAATTTGGAAAAGTTCAATATCATAAGCCCTGATAATAGTTTTGTTGCAGGTTTTACCAGAATTTGTCCAAGTAGAAGCTTTTGCAAAACTGAACAATGCCATAGGTCAGGTAAAAAAGTCATTTCATGTCTCAGAGCGTTTAAAGTTGAATTGGCAACATAAACCTTGTTGAACTCACAGATAGAGATTCTTGTAGTTCTGTTTCTTGCTTGTGTTGTCTTAGCACCGATTATATGGTTTTATCTACAAAGTTAAACTAAGATCCATAAAAGTATATATTTATATACACAGTTATGTGAGAGGGAAGGGAAAGAACCAGGTTGTGTTTTATAGTTGTCCTTATGTCTAGAAGAACAACCAGATGACAATAACAAGTGGTCGCACAAAAGAAAAGAACATGTAGTGTCAAGATTACTAGTTTGCGAATAAACGCTTAATAACTTAATATTTTCGCTATTAATGGAGACTTTTATGTTCCTCTGGATGTTGTGCATACTTCTCTCTAAAAGGAGCACTATGTCGTTATTTTTATTCTTTGAGCTTTTCGTTGTTTCTGTTTTAGCACTTCCATTCGCCTTTTAATGAATTGGTTAGGACGTATATATTATTCCTGCCACTTTAACATTAAATGAATTACAAGCTCTCTCATGTTTATCCAATGAGAGCATAAAAAATCCAATGCTGCAATCAGTATCCGTGACTAGCTCTGCTTCACTCAGTCTCAGACAACTTGTTGACCTCATTTGCCATGGAGAACCTTGGAAGGATGCATAGAGTCCATAGGAACATTTTTATTAACGATGACTGCACTTAAATAAATGCTCACTGGTATTGTGGGTATTGACCATCTGATTACTCATTTTTTGTCGTCTCATTTCTGTACATGTTATCTGTTCAGGCCATGAAAGTATATTGGGGATACTTTTATTAACAAGATTCATTTAGTAACTGCTTTATAAACCCAATTAGTAGTATTTCTTCCAAATTACGAACTCTGTTTTACCTCATTTTTCTTCAGTCAAGGTCATGCCTTGATACCATATATTTGGTCTATTCTATGTTTTCTATTCGAGGCACTAGTTTAGTTGTTGCTGGATCTTGTCTCTTCTATAAACAGTTACGGTTATTTGGAATCGCACAATCAGTTTTGAACTTAATTTTCATTGCAGGTTATAGAGGCACAAGCTGATATGCCTGTTTTTGGGGCTGTAGCTTTATATTCATCTCTTCTGACATTTACACTCCATGTCCATCCTGATCGGCTTGACTATGTGGATCAAATATTGGTATATTCCTCATTACATTTATTTTTTTGTTTCTTTATTGAAGCTCTATCATATGGTTATCCACAAGGAATAATTATTTAACATAATTCTTTAGTATATCAAGTGTTCTTCTGCAAAAAATTGCACATTGAATGTATATTTTTGTAGCACCAGGAATTGATTTACCAAACACAGCTATTCACTTACATTACATGCATATATAGCTTAGAGTTAACTACCAGACTACTAATTTATTAGTCTCTGGAGAGAAGTTTCACACTTATGACATGATCCATCTTTTGTCTAGATAAAAAACAATCTTGAGATCTGCATCATAGAATAATATATGCTCTATCTTAATATCAAACTTGTTCATGATTGATCACTTTAGGCCTAGGCCACAGATACTGATTGCAGCATTGGATTTTTTATGCTCTCATTTCTTCAGGGTGCATGTGTTAGCAAAATTGCTGGCAAAGGAAAGCTGGAAGCGAAAGCAACAAAGCAGATTGTTGCACTTCTAAGTGCTCCATTGGAGAAATATAATGATATAGATACTGCACTAAAACTTTCAAACTATCCTCTTGTCATGGAGTACCTGGATGATAGAACTAACAAAGTGATGTCTAATGTTATAATTCAAAGCATCATGAAAAACAAGACTCACATCTCAACTGCTGACAAGGTATGGCGGCTCTTTACATGTTATTCTGACATAGATGTTCCCTTCTTAATAACTGTGGTCTTTTGTAGGTTGGGGCTTTATTTGAACTAATAAAAGGGCTTATCAAAGATTTGGATGCCAATAATGATGACGAGGTTAATGATTATTACGCTTGCTTGTGTGTGCTTTCTCCATGTGCATATATTTCAAAGCTTACTGCATCAGATTTTATTTCTCTATTTTGGATAATTTCATATTTATGCCTTCATCAACATACATATTTTCAGATGTTTCCAGAGACAGGTGTTGCATGATGCCATATCTTAAAGGCCTACATTTTGAATCAAAGTTTTTCTGTCTTCTGCAGATGGATGAGGATGATTTTAAGGAAGAGCAGAATTCTGTTGCGCGTCTAATTCAGATGTTGTATAATAATGATCCAGAAGAGATGTTAAAGGTATTCCTTCATTTTGGTAATTTTGTTTTACTCTTTCTTATATACATCGATGATTTGATGCTGTTTATAATTTATTGGCTATAACCTCAACTTGAATATGTTTGTGATGCTCAGAAGAGAATCCCAGGTTGAGTGGATTATGTTTTCTTGGGATAAGTCTGGTATTACTATTTAATTTCTTCTATGATTTAGGGACAAAGGTACCTTTGASACATGGCATCAGCATCTGTCATCTATGTTATAAATCTGTCTTCAGTGCTGATGAAAAATTTGTAGAAAACCTGTGAGATTGTTTCCCAGTGTCCATTTTTCTTGGTGGTCATTCATGTCACTGATCTTTCTAACAGGCCATTGTTTAATCATRTTTTAAGTAGATATTTTGTGTTTGTCCGTCGTATGGTAATGTGGTCCTACTCAGCTTAATCAACTAATTTTATAGCATGTTGACGGAAGGTCGCCTGATTTTTACCAGGCAACTTGGCTATATAATTCTCRAAAGAGAATGATGCTCAATTTCATGCTCCTTGACTTAAATTATAATTGAGAGGATTATTGTTCTTTGACATGCTCAAGCTTAAATGGGAATCACCTGGTTCAGATTTTCATTAATCATCCATGCAGAACAATGCTCTAATTTGGCAGTAGCACATGGTTTCGTTTTAACATCGCATAATTTATTATTTCAATCAGCTTGGAGTTCTTTCTTCTGTGCATTTTTGTGCATATTATGTAAATTTATGTGCTGTCATGCCTCCASCAAGTGGCAATTGCATGCATTCCTTTCATTTAAAAGCTCTACAAATGCATCTTTATGAGATGCAATTGACAGAAGTGAAACAATGTTCACATTATTACTGAATACAGAACATATCCTGTAATCATGGCTGTTGATCTTTGTATTATGTTGAGTGGCAGATTATATGTACGGTGAGGAAGCATATTCTGACTGGAGGACCCAAGCGACTTCCCTTTACAGTTCCTCCACTYATATATAATGCTCTCAAGGTTTTATTCTTCTTTTTAGATTATGTTACATTGTTTGACCTGGGTTTATGATTGGCCTCAAGTGGTATTAGCATGCACGCATCTCTGACAGAAATAGTAACTGCAAAATTTGTGAATGTAGCTTGATGTGTTTCAACTGAAGGATATATTATACTTAATTTGAGATTCAATCATGCTATGATAGGAAAAAAATTTATTTTCTAGTTGAAACTATTAATGTGTCTCAAAAACTGTTGGGAGATCTCTTGCTAATACCTAGCTCACATTATATTCATGGACATGTACAACGAAAGCTTCATTAGAGTATCCCAGCAAACCTTATGTTGTATATAGGTGTGTAAAGTTGGCATCAAAACTCACTTTTTAAGGTATTAATCCATCTAGCAGAGTAACTGCTTTTTTTTTTCTTTATAGGTTGCTCCAATTTAAGTGTTCACTAAGTACAAAAGGACACGGCTGTAAGATCTTTATTTACCTTGGAAAAAAAAGATTCCTCCCAAATAATGTTCTGTATTTGTTTACTTACGGAAAAGAAGTCATCATCTGTTATAATTTTGCAATTATATGCTAAACCATGAATTAAAAGCAAAAATACAATATATGGGTTATTATTGAAAAATCAATTACATAGCTCTTGGCATCATCGGGAGGTGATCACTTTTTTTATGATGAAGGACATAAGTTGGGAGACACTTGCGCCACGTGTATCGTTCTTGAATTATTTAACTAAAGACAATGTTATTAGTGTACGGTAAGCATGGAGTTCTCTACATTTGTAATTAGTGTATGGTAAACAATGTTTACTTTTGAAATATCTAGATATGGCTTTGCTTTATGTTGGGGAAAATAGATTGTATATACGGTAAACTATATGATATAACTACCGACTAGAAAAGTAAAAATTCATGGTTAATATTTACGATTGAACTTTGTTGAGCACAAGCAGCTGGGATTTGTGCCAAGTTTTTTTCCGTGTTTTTTCCTTCTGTTCTCTAGATTTATTTGTAGTTCTTTGTTAGCAAAAGAAAAAAAATACAAGGGTAATTTCTATTAAGTTTGGGACTTTGAACAAACCAGCATGAACAGTAAATTACTTCTGTTGCACTTATAAATTAAGTAGTGAAATGTAAATACTACTCTGGTAAGTGCCACTAGTCTATCTGCCATTGTATGTTTGAAATTAGTGATTGTAATAGGTACAGATTATATCTGCTCGACGTGGCCAAACAAGAGGTTGTCTTTTTTATTCCAGTTTGCGGGTTCTGGTTTTTTTTTTCTGGAGGGGGATGTCACTTGATAGGTGAGAGGGGAGAGAGAGGCATCTGAAAAGCCTATACCCTTGCTTATTGTTATTATTTAGAAGTTTCTTTGTCCGAGTTTTGAGTCGCAATTGAAGTTTTTTTGTGCATTTTATCTGATGTTGCCTTTTATGGACCTTAACGACTTTACAGTTGGTTAGGCGAGTACAAAGTCAGGATGATAACGTTACTGAAGAGGAAACAGCATCAGCCACACCAAAGAAGATCTTTCAAATATTGAATCAGGTAACTAGTTAACTATATAGTCTCATGATCAAGAGATGCACATCACTATACGCCTGGATTATTATGCCGTTGCCATTTTCAAGCATGGAGTTGAATAGAAAATGAAGAATTCCGTCCTATCATAATCTTGCATAAGTTTAACAGTTAACCAAGCCCTTTTGCATTTCATGCATTTTGTTGTAAACCACATGGTCCTAAATGGGCCTCAACATTTCCTAAGAAAAGGAATGAAATTCAAACCTCACCTTTTCTCTCAGTTGAAGATTTCTTATGATTGTTATATGTTGGGTTCTTGTATCAGACAATTGAGACATTGTCAACGGTTCCAGTACCCGACCTTGCATTGAGGTTATACTTGGAGTGTGCTGAGGTATGTCTGAGATATTTTATTTCTGAGAAGACAGAGAGAACGGGGATTTATATTGAATTCCTTCTGACCTTCACTATCATGGTTTCATATTATACAGGCTGCCAATGACTGTGATCTAGAACCTGTAGCATATGAGTTTTTCACCCAAGCATACATATTATACGAAGAAGAAATTTCGGTAAATTAGAAAATCTATCTTTTTTCTGAAAGTATATAATATTTGTAATTTTATATACAGCAAACTCACACACGCTCCTCACATGAGGCTTGAACCGGTAACACGGGTACCGCTGAGCCAAAGACCCTTTGGTAGAATTTATATCTTACACCAACCTTTTTGGGGTCGAATGGGTATGAGATGCATAGATTCTATCTAATTTCTGTTTGTTTGTTTTTTGTAACAGGATTCCAAAGCACAAGTAACAGCACTATACCTCATTATAGGGACTCTTCAACGGATGCACACCTTTGGGGTTGAGAACAGGGATACATTAACCCACAAGGCCACAGGGGTAACATTGTTAGCTTGTTATCTGTAAACATTTACTTAATGTTTATCCGTTTCTAAATTTTTGTTTTTACATTGTGGTAGTATTCAGCAAAGCTCTTGAAGAAGCCAGATCAGTGCAGAGCTGTTTATGCTTGTTCACATCTGTTCTGGGTTGAGGATCAGGACGGAGTCAAGGATGGTGAGAGGTACATGACTATGCCCACTTGGATTTAAATGTATTTTTGTTTCTTAAGCAAGAATGGGACAAGACAAAACAAAAACTTGTTGTTCCATGTTTGGTGCGACATTAGAATGGAACAATATTGGGTTGAGTGGGACAAAAATGTATACTTTTTGGATGTTGCTATATGCACTCCTATTTATGGCAGAATCAGGTCGAATCATACATCAAAAATGTAAAAAGTAAGTTGATTTTGATGGACGTCAAGAGGAAATTAGTAGGTAAGGGTGCATTTGGTCTACCCCTACTTTTTTGTCCCACCGAAATAGGTGGAACAAAAATCAAGGAGATGGGACAAGCTTGGTGAATTACGAAACTACTTATGTCAAATTAAAACCCTATAACCTTGCTAACTCTTTCTCCCACCTACCTCACCCATGCTCATCCTGTTCCATCTGCGTACCAAATACACCCTGATTGATCACGAGTTGTATTTAGTTTTCCTTCCAAAAATTTGTGGAGTTTAGGTCCTACATTCGTCATGTTTGTCAAATAATTGGATCAAGTAGTTGTTTCTGTGTGATGTAGAGTATTGCTTTGCTTGAAACGTGCGTTAAGAATTGCAAATGCCGCACAACAAATGGCAAATGTGGCAAAAGGTAGCAGCGGATCAGTGATGCTGTTTATCGAGATCCTAAACAAGTAAGGAATAGTTGGTCTACTTTCTGAATCAGTCCCATGTTAGATTAGAGAAGATAAATGAACAACGTAATTTCAGGTATCTATACTTTTTCGAGAAGGGAAACACACAAATCACGGTTGCTTCAATTCAAGGACTGATTGAATTGGTAACAACCGAAATGCAAAGCGATACATCTACATCAGATCCAGCTGCCGATGCTTTTCTCGCTAGTACAATCCGGTACATCCAGTCACAGAAGGACAAGGGTGGAGCAACGGGGGAGAAATTTGAGGCAATCAAGGTGTGATTTTTTGCGGTTTTTCATCAAGGATGTAACGATAGTCTGCAAGCGGGTATTCAGGTATGGATACGATTTCTAGCCCTGATGGAGTATGTGTTCTATGGTTGTCTATATATTTGGCTGACTTACCTGATGGTTTTATTTTACACTACAAATTCAAGAACAAAATAGGAAGAGAAGGAACATGTTCGATTTAAGAAACCTTTTTTGGTCCTTCAAATTTTAACTTCACTTTTGGAGAAATGTAGTTGTGGATGCACCCTGATAGTGTTAAAAGGTATATATCGTATGAACTTGCATCATGTTTCTTTTGCATTACTTGCTTATGTGTAGCATATATATAGGGGAGAGGGGTTCGATCGCAAATCAAATCAACTGTAGGTTGTGAATTAGGGGACAAAGGAGAGCGTGTCATGTGTCCTATACATTAATGGGTTATATTCATCACTAGGGATGTATCAATTTATCATATGGATCATGAATGATGTATTATTTATCATGGGATAGTTCATAAATGTTTACCTTCATTATTCATGATGAATCTGGACGTGCGGGGACTTAGTGTTCCTCTCACCTGTCCCACATGGGGTTTGTTTCTTTCAGATGCTTGAAATCAAGTCAGAATACTTGTTTCATATCCAACAATTAAGAGGTAATGTTTAAAGTCTCAAGGTTATTTAAACTGTTTGGAAAAACTAGTGTGACATTCAGATTTGAACTTAAACCTCGCGAGTTATTACTAGTAAAAAAATCGTAGGAGCCGTTTACAAAGTGCTTACCAGGTGAGCATGATGATGGCCAAGAATTCTACCCTTTAAGAGGCACAACATTTATGCCATTTGAAGAGGAGGCTAGCAAATTTGCCATTTTTCTCACATCTACAACGAAGTGCAAAAACAGTATTTTGGCGTATGATTGGAATAATTCCAGCATTTGTTGTAGATTGTGAGCAACTTGAGCCATGAATCATGAAGTTCCACTCCAAATATTAAAGCTAAAAAATGGAAGAAATTTGGTTGTTGGTGAGATCTCATCCGATCCGAGTATACAAGTTGTTAATCTATTCCTTTGGAATTTATGAGTATGCGTAGCTTAACTTTTGGGGATGTCTCCTATAAGGACGGGCCCACAATTTTTTTCAAACGGTGACATCGTTTGACTATAAGAAAAAATTTCTAACAATGGCACTGGTGGGTGGACTATAAGAAATAAATATACGGAATTTTTTTCAATCAGTGACACTATTTGACTAAGAAAAAGACACTAACAAGATTTGAATTTGGGTCTTGAGTGGAATAGAAGTCTTGCAAACCAATTCTACCAAATAAAAATTGTTCGCATTATAGTTTGAAAATACATACGGTGGCACACAACAGATTAATACGGTTGCATCTTTCACGAACCTAATTTTTTTTACCCTTCAACGGAGAAATAATACTATGACACGTGCCACCGTAACCACCATGGTAGGTCCACCCATGACTACTTAAAGGGTCTAACGCTTCAATGCTAGAAGGGAACAAAGGGTTATGTGGTGAAATTACTGGATTTCAACGTTCCAAAATATCTACAAACACAAGCACCTCTGATCCCTAGTAATTGTGTTTTGTATTTTAGAATACTTTTGGATTGAAATGGATTTGAAATCATTGGTTTGTAAGATTTCGAATGTAATTGGATTATGTTATTTATAAAGAATTTATAAAGAATTATACAAATAATTAAATTATATTTAATTGATTATTACAAAACAAATGTTTTTAACGTTTTTTAAAATCTTATTACATACAATCATACAAAATCCCAAGCACCCGTTAAGGATTTCAAAATCCTATGTTTGTAGGATTTAATTCTATGATTTCAAATCTGAATAATCCAACAAACCAAACATGAGATTTGGATGGATGTAAAATCCAAATCTCCTAAATCCATTTCATTCCTACAAACCAAATAAGATTTAAGAACTTTTGAATAAGACCATCTCTAATAACAAAGCTTTTAATTGTTTCTTTTTACTGTTTCTTCAATTTAGTATCATGGCTTTTTAGCGTTGGATTGAAAAGCTTTTTACTCAAACCATAAGGGTGGTGTCTGATTGGTTTGAGTTTGGCTCCAAAGGTCAAAAGTACCAGAAGGTCCCAGGTTCAAATCTAAGGAGAAATAAAAATCCCCTTGTGATCTGGAGGTTCAAATGTGGTGACTACGGGCTGTCTGCAAAACATATGGTCACCCTGAAATTAGTCGACTCTCATAGCAGATTGGATCCAAGTTAATAAAAAAAAGCTCTTTACTGTCATTTTTACTCATGCCACTTCATAGTTTCATTAAAAGTTAAAAGTTACAAACGTTCAAGTATAACGCTTGTGAGAACTTCCTACGATTAAAATTATTCATTAAAAGTTATGAACAAATAGAATACTTACAGATATTAATAGTTTATTTATTATGTATAAGTACTGATGCTCCAACAAAAATCAGACTAAACAAGCAAACCCCATAAATTCCCATGTAGCATTAAGTTTAGAGTATGATGTACACAAATATTTCTTTTACTTAGAGATGAAAAAAAGAGTCTGTTTGTTAGCAACTTAATAAGTTTAATGTTACTTACAACTTATTCGGTCAACTATACATGATTATTTGTTAGTTACTTAATGACATAGACTGCATTTTATTTAGTAAGCTCCTAGGGAGGGTTCATATAGAAAGTCAAGTTTTTTTTTCTAAATTTGTCCCTCCCAATAAAAAAACATACATTTTACATCTATGAAAAAACCTTCTCAATCTATATAGACATATTAATTTACACATACAGTTTTATTCATACAAAACTTAATGGAAAATCAACCAAACATCTCCTAATCTTCTATTTGGACACCCCTTTATTTACTATTTATTACCTAGTGATTTTTTTGTCTTTTTACACATTATCATCAAATCTTATTTTTTATATTTCTAATACAATTAAATAATCATTATATCTTTTGTAAATAAAAAATGTAAAAAATTGTTAAATTTGTAAAAAATTATGTCTTTTCTAACTTACAAATTTGTATTTTAATATTTTAAAATAAATTAAAACAAAAGCTAAATAATTATATACAAATATCATAATATGTTACATGGTTAATACATGTTTTACAAACAAATATTGTTGGTTATGAAAATTAATAAAAGTTTAAATATAAGAGAATAAAAAAATCATCAATTAATTTTATATAAAAACAAATTTAATTAAATAATCTTTTACAATAATTATTATCATTCTTATATATCTATACTATATTATAAAGTATTTGACAAAAACTCTTAAAAACTAGTTTTTATGCATGAAGTACTGTTTATTGATGCATATTACTTAAAAATCAAGATTACAAGTAAATTTTTCGTATATACAACTTATTAAAGCTTAATGTTTGAATTCGTATAACTAACTATAGATAAACATAATCAAATAGAGGATAAACATTTCATTTTAAATATAAAAAATTTAAAATATAATTAGGATAATCATTAAGTTCTAACAAAATACTTAATTATTATCTTTATAAAAAACTATATTATTAAACCAAGAAAAATGAATTAAAGAAATACATAAAATATGAGAAATTTTAAAGTCATTTTGGTACTAATATCAATTTTTTTTCCAGTTTTTCATAATATTGATCGAGACAAAAAAAACTAAACATTTAAATCGAGATGTATCTCGTTGCATTGTGCAAGTACACTTCTAGTAACGTATAATATATGATAATAATAAAAATGAAAAAAAAAGTTTAAAGAAAGAAACTAACGATGGGATAGATAAACACAATTAACAGAGAGAGGAAAGATATCTCTCTCTATATTTGATAGAGAAAGAAAATGATAATTAAATGAGAACCACAAAATATTATAAATCTATATCAAAGGGTCTTTGATGTAGCAGTATGTGAGTCTTTGTTCTCCTAAGAGGTCAGGGGTTTAAACCTCATCAAATGTGAGGAGGATGTGTGAATTTATTTGTTCTATTTACCGTATATAAATATTATATACTTCAAAAAAATGTTATAAACCTTTTAGAGTTTACCTAAAAATATTTTTGTGCATGATTGTTTTTATCGAATGTTATAACTTAAAGTATTGTTTTACATTTTGTTTGAATTCAAATCATGAAAAAATTATATGTAAAACATTTTTTGTTGTTCACATAGTGAAATAAAAAATATACGTTAAAAAGTATCAACTGTGAAACAAATGCATGCAAAATTATCAAGAAAAGTTGTAACCAGGCCTGGTCCTGAGCATGTGCAGCCCGTTCGACCGCACAGGACATCAAAGTCCAAAAGGGCATCAAATTGTTATATAGTATTAGTTTCGGGTTTTGAGGTTTAATAATTTGAGACTTGGGCTTTAGTTATAAACAGAGTCCCAACTGACCAGGGCTGTTAATAACAAACCCAAGGACTTGAATTGGTGACAATAGGATAGACGCATCACAGTTCACAAGACAATTGGCTTTGGTGATTTGAAATTGAAGATATCTATTGTTCTTTGAGTGTTCGACTTTTTCGATTTTTGACGATGACGTTCCAGTTCCAGAGGAAGACGATTGACGGTAACGAGTCTAACGACTGTTCATGGGACGATGGGTCGATCTTGATGATCAGTCGATGCATTGCCGACTGCCCGACTATGTATACTCGAATACACCATTGTTGATTAAACTCTCAACTCTCAATCATTCATTGTTTCTCTATTCTCAATCCTTAAAATCTAGATACAGTTAATTGCATTTGTATTTCTTCAAATCTGGATTCTGGAATTGGAAGTGGAACTGTGGAAGTCGATTGCATCGTTTCTCAAATCAAAGTATGATTTTGTTTCTAAATTCTAACATAGTAACATTTAATTGATTAATTTTGACATTATGTATTTCCGATTGATACAAGCTCTGTTATGGTAATGGTTGCTGACTTGCTGTCCAATATTGTAATGGTGGAAACTTGAGAAAAAAACCCTAGTTTTAAGAAGATGAAATTAAAATTTACTTGTCAATGGTTTCAAGTGATTTTGGTATCAAAATGTCAACATTTATCTTGTCTTTATTATAATATCAAAAGCCCCATGAAAAAATGGTTGGAAATCGACCAAATATGGTTGGAAAAATCAAGAAGAAAGCAAAACAAAACTGGGTCAAGTTCACTTTTTTGAATCTGTCCATTTGATTTTGGTCATATGTGCTATTACTATAGGTTCATTTTCATTATTAATCGTCGGAAGCATATAAAGGAGAAAAGCCATGGACATCAATTGAGATTTT